TGTGTGTGTGTGTGTGTGTGTGTGTGTGTGTGTGTGTGTGTGTGTGTGTGTGTGTGTGTGTGTGTGTGTGTGTGTGTGTGTGTGTGTGTGTGTGTGTGTGTGTGTGTGTGTGTGTGTGTGTGTGTGTGTGTGTGTGTGTGTGTGTGTGTGTGTGTGTGTGTGTGTGTGTGTGTGTGTGTGTGTGTGTGTGTGTGTGTGTGTGTGTGTGTGTGTGTGTGTGTTGTGTGTGTGTGTGTGTGTGCATCCGGGGTGTGCGGGCAAGAGTGCACGCATACTAGATGGGCCATGTCAAACCCCAGCCATCTTCGTGTTCGAAGCCCAAAAGCAGTCCCTTGCTTTGACTCCCATACCCCACGGCCACACGCGGATTCACGTTCCTGCCTGAGAACGTAGAAGGAGTCTGGACAAATGAGCACAACAGAGGTTCCCTCCTCAGACCTAGGATCATCGGGGGTTGGCCAAAATTTTTTACGGCCAGTTGTCAACCCCCGCGTGTCAAGTTTTGCCATGTGTCAACCCTTCCCCGTCAAATATATGTCTGTACATCTATGTATATATATATATACACAGATTCTTAACTCCTGCACCACTGCAAATGACACTTCGTCATGGGCGGCCAATTGGTGAACTCGCCAAAAATTGGACAAGCTCCCCCAAGCCCCCGCCGTTCCTCAAAAGAAGGGCCTGAGAACAATATTGAGTGAGGCCCTGCCAGGGAGCGACTTTGGGGCAACAAGCCCCACTGTGCTGTCTTAACAGATAAGCAGGGTTGCCCAGTGCCGACTACCTTTTGGCTTCCCTGTGAGAATTAGGATTTGCTTCTTTGAACCCAATGTCTTTGAATTGAAAATTGGTTCAAACCCCTGATACTCATGGCCAAACTGCGCCCTTCCACCTTTTGATTACTCGAAGGTAGACTTACCAAAGCTGGACGTCTGGATGCTGAGGCCCCCCCTCAAACAAATTGGGGCGGGGGAGGGGGCACCTAAAACAGATTGGAGGTCAGAGTCGGACCTACTCAAATAGTCTCTCAGTATGTACTGCTTGGTACTGGTTTAAAAATTGTTTGAGTATTCTGTTGAGCTGGCGCAGTCCTGTTTAGAATTAGTTTAGTATTCTTTTAACATTGCTTTGTACTGGTTCAGTAGTGCTTAGAATTTGCTTAGTATGTGCTTAGTATTCCTCGGTACTGGCTCAGAGATTGTTCGTTTCTATATGTCCGCCCCTTAAACTATTACTGTTAATTTTTGGGGCTTCCGTGGAAATCTGTCTAAGCGGCTGTTTGAGTAAAGGGTATCAGAAAGAATTTGGCTGTTTGTGGCCTCAGTTGGTGTTGCTGGCTCCACATGGACTCAATATTGGTTTTGTATTCGTTAGTATTGGTCTAGTATTGATTCGTGCTAGTTTGGTATTAGTTTGGCATTGCCAGGGTGGGATCATGTCTTTTTCTCACCCCCGGACGGACAGCCATATTTTTGCCACCGATTTTTGATCCTGAATTTCATCCCCCGTGTCCTTTTCAGGGTGAGGCATGACTTTGGGAAAACATGGTTGAACTGCCTCCCCGTTGATTATCCGACATTAGGATCTGCGACACACTTGATTGGTTGCTTTCCCCTTTTTGGGGACATTGCAGTACTGTGAGGGCCTTAATCCCTAAAAGGGGGATATGGCAAACATCAAAGCCAAATACCGCAAGCACAGGTGGTATCCCCAACCGCAAGCCCCGGAACCCTAGCCTGGAGCCCCGAACCACCCGAAAGCTTGCAGCTATTGAGGTATTCAGTCACATCAGACTAACATGGTGTACTTTAAAACCAAATCACGTCACACAAGAATAGATCCAAGTTACCCCTCATCACATTCCTCTCCCAATGACATGGCAGATTCCTGAGGGGGTCCCTTCAAACGGACGTTTGTGGGAGGAAGAGGGTATCACATACTCTTCTACCTCCTTGAGAGCGGACCCCCCTTCCCAAGCACCGGAGGCTTGGCACCCGGCCAAATCACGTCCTTGGGAACCACGTCAATGCGCCGCACCAAGCGGTACCTCGAGTTTCGAGCCTCCGGGTTCCAAGGAGCCCGCAGAAACCCCGCGCAAGAGGCTTTCGGAAAGCTCCCAACTTTGGTGGTTCGGATTGGATTGAGATGAACCTGTAGGGCGTCTGGCATGACAACCTTCATGCATTTCACGCGATGTTGCTCTGTTTTGTTCCTTAGGGTCACGAATGCCACCCGTTTCTTGGACCTCGAAGCCCATGTTTGGGCGGTCGGCTTTTCGCTCTGGGTCCGCTGCTCGGTCCAGTCGTAGAAGCAAATGAAGTCCCCGCCGCGGATGCCCAGCAGCCGACCTGGAAAGAAAGAGAAAGAGAAAACCAAGAAACCACCAAATTAGGGGGGGGGGTCTCAAAAAGCCACGTAAAAACAATCGACCAAATTGAGGGGGGGGGACAACCAAATGAGGGGGGGTCTCAAAAGCCACGGAGGAAAAAAGAAGAAAAAAGGAAAACCACCAATTTATCTTTTTTTTCTTTTTGGGGGGGGGTGTCTCAAACAGCCGACCACTTTTGGCTGGTCTGAAAAGGGAAACTAAGGGAACCTAGGAGTCATGATATTGAGACACCCAAATGGGTCTCTCTCGTTTTGAAGTACGGTCACCCTACCAGGTGCTGCTTCCACGGCATTTGCAATGCTTCATTGATTTCAGCCGGAACTTTTGGCACTTAGCCTGTTCTTTCTGGGTGGCCAGGGAATGAGGAGATGTCAACTAAAATTAACGACTATCGTTTTGGAGGGCGCCCTTTCGGGCTTGGTTTCAAGGAAAACAGAAGGGAGACCGAGGGGAAGCTGCAGAACCAACCGCGGTTTCAACATATGGCCATGGGTCAAAATCCAAATCGTACCCCCAGTGAACATCCCAATCTCCACTAAAATAGGTTCTAAAATGGGTGGTGCGCCTACCCCAAAATGGTACCATTTTGACCCACGGCCATATCTTTTGCGTTTCCAAACTTCCAGACCCTCGGCTCAATGTTTCAACCTCCGAAGGGAGACGGCGAGGATTGCTGCAAAGCCGGCCTCCAAAGATTTCCTCCACGGTAAACTGCGGCTTAAAGGAGAAGCTCTCCTTGAAATCCTGCAGGCAGAGCACGAAAAGTTCGTCCATTCACCCCCTTCGAGAACCCCCACCAGATCTGGTCTGGCCCCAACCTAAGGCCTTTTTGAGCATCGAAAACAAAAAAAGTTGGGCAAACCTGGAGGGTCAAGAGAGCCACGTGAGCCAGAGCCTGGAAGACGGTGATCTTGCCATTGCCATCCCGGGTGGCATAGGCGCCGGAGTAGGCCCAAACAAACTGAGGCGAGGAAGGCTCTGGAGTCTGTGTGTGTGTGTGAATTATATATAAATATATACATAATATATATATATACATATACATAGAGATACATGTACGGAATCGACACGCCCAAAAGCACACCCGTAGGTTCTGGGATCAAGCGCATGTGCATCCCTTTGTGCCACCATCTGGGCATGCGTCAAACCTACAGCCCGCCTTCTTGCCCCACTATACCCAAAATGAAACCAGGATCACCTGGAGGGGTCGTTCTATTTGGACGGCGCTCCCAATTCCTCAACATAGGAATCGGACATAATCGGATGGCAATCTGGACATGGGACCCCGGTTTGCTTGTGGCGGTCCCTTTCACCGAAAGGCGCCAAGGCGCCAACCCAATTTTGAGAGAAGTTCCAGAGCCGACGCTCGGCGAAGCAAGCCCGCCTCGAGGGCAGGACCGTAGGACTTGTTTCGAAGCGCCTGGAGGGCCACAGGAAAAGGACCGAAAACGAGTGGTTCCGAAAATACGGAACTCCCAAAAATTGCTTGGCTTCCATTTGGTCTCACCTTCAAACCATCAAAAAAAGGTTGGGGGTGTTCACTGTTCACGTTCCCCATTTTGAGAACGAAGGCTGTGAATGAGGATTCTCCACTGTAAAGGACTCCTCATTGCGACCGTCAACCGCTTAAACCAACGTTGACCAATAGCTCTGTGGTTCGACTGCGACATCGCCTGAGCGGTGTAGATGACGAACTCCCCGTCGCCGCACACGGCGAAGAGCCGACCTCACGGACCGCTCAAGGCGATCCCGAAATGGGGACCGCCGGGTTGGGGTGAAGGAGAACTGAAAGGCCGCCGCCATTTGCTTAAGCAAAAAGAAAGAGAATCAAACATATGGCCACGGGTCAAAACCCAAATCGTACCCCCAATCCCCGCTAAATAGGTTCTAAAATGGGTGGTGCACCTATGCCAAAATGGGATCCCATTGGTTTTGAACCATGGCCATTTCAAGCAAACGGAAGTCAGCCAATTTCAGGGGTCCCCACATTTTAGAGACGAACCAAGGTCGCCCTCCGGTCGAGTCGGCTCAAAGAGTCACAAAGTGTCCACGGAGTCTGACGGAATGCAACTGGCATTGTCACATATATGGGTGTCCTGTTGCGAGGGCACCCTTTTTTGGGTATTTTAACGGAAAACCAAAAGAACAACCACCTTATTCTAGTTTACTTTCATTTGGGGGGTCCCCTAACACAACACACTCAAGGAGCCGCGCCCTTTTTCAGCAATGCAAACACCTTCGGTGGGCTTAAGCAGAGCACTGGGCTTTTCGCGAAGGAACAATGGCCCAATAGCCTCCGTTCGGAGCCCTCCACACTCATCAAAAAAGGGCCTCTCGCAGCTGGAAAAATTCAACGCTGGGAATTCCAGAGCGCACAAGCTTGGGTCGACGGTTTGCACCCTCTCGCCCGGTCACCTGAGGCCCCACACCGTTGGGATGGTGCGCAATGTACTGAGGGAAGACCTCTGCCGCCCCCATGTCCTGCAGGCAAATGCGCCGATGGCAACTTCCAACAGCGGGAGCATCCCATCAGTGGCCTCATTCAGACCAACCAACAAAACGACCTACCGGCCGACCAATCAACCAACTGGCTGGAAGCCCCAGCCCCACAGAAACAGACGCGCATCCTCCTGGACAAATAATCCACCGTCACAAAATGAAAAAGAAAAAAAGAAAGAGGAAGAATGTTGCTCGATGAAAACATGTTGTAAATCTCACACAAGTGTTTTCGGCCGACAACGCCCACTAGTTTGGCAACGTGTTCTGGTCGAAAACTCATCAAACAACGTTGAACGTATTTACGTCAGTGTCGTTGCTTGATCATATGGCGTGGCTGCATGCTCGATTGCCTTCTCTTCTATTTGGCTTCTTTCGGGGTTCAGTTTAATTTACACACCGCCTTTGCCAAAATGGCGAGTTTTGAGGACCCCCCCCCCCCCCCGCCATGACACCGGGCTCGAAAGGGCCCCCGCCTTGCTCCCTCAAAAAGGTGCCAGGACAAACTCACCCCAAGACAAACCACCTTTGCCCATCCCCGGGTTCTTTTGGCCCGAAGTGGCGGAAGCTCACCCCCCGTCCTTCACGCTGAGCGGCACCTTCTCGCCCTCGCGGGCGGCCGTGCCCTCGTCCAGCAGCTTCAGGTTGGCCGTCTGGATCTCGTTGCCTTTGGCCTGCCGTGTCAAGGGTGCGGCTTCTTGGAGGGTACCCAACGTTTGCTGGCTTTTATAGGAGAGAAACCAACATATATGTGATTGTTCTTTGTTTCGTTGTTTCTTTTGTTTTTGTTTTTTTTTTGGGGGGGGGGGGGGTTCTTTTCTCTTTTTTTTGGGGGGTACCTAAAACAAAGACCCACCCAGATGGATGTCCCGTCCAACAGGTGGCACCCGGACCCTCTGACCATGATTTGGCCGCATGCGGTGAGCGGCCCCTGAGTATTGGCATTGTGTAGCAGTTAGGTGCCAAGTGCGTGCACCAATCTGGGTGCTGTTGTGGTCGTGGCTCCTTCTGAAGTCCATGTCACCCGGAGTGGTTTGTAGCTTCAGCAAAAAAAAATATTGAGGTTGAACACACAAATCAATAGTTTCCAAATGATTTATGCGGATAAGGCCCACCAACGCCCAACCATGTGCAGGCTTACTGAGCATAGTGAGGAACCCGCCGTTTCTACCACGACTGAGCAACATATATAAGTTTTAAACGTCGGGTCTTCTGAACGGGTCCATTGTCCGGTTGTCTGAATGCATTGTTTGCAACCCTGCCGCGCGCCGTTCAGTCGCTGGATCAGAGTGCATGCATTTCCCGCGAGTTGCAACATGGATCATTTGTGATTGATCCAATTGGGCATTGGAGACTTGCACGATCTCTTGAAACAAAGCAAACCAGCAGGCCGATGCTGTCAATATGGGTACCCTTCCTGTAACATCTGTGGGAGGGTATCTGGACAATCTACTTTCCAGGTGCCATGTTAGGGGCGAAGAGAACTGGTTTTGTGTTTATCATAATATTGACCCATACAACAAAGCCTGGTGATTGGTGGGGCGTGTCAAATGTTGAGAGATCCTTCACTTGTTCAATAAGTCCCTCATCAACGACTTGTCACTTCGGGCTACTTGACATGCATCAACTCTTCGGGACGTTAGACAAATCGTGGTAGGGTTTCTAAAGGAACCATGACCGTGCCCCAGACTGAGCCTGAGTTCTGCAGCAAACACCACCTCATTTCAAAAACCTTACAACTTCCACCCAATTCGAGACCAACAATCCCACCAGCAATTAAGGAACCGCTACAACCGAGGCACCAAGGGGGCTTCGGGTGAGGTGCATTTGCTGCGCCTAAAGGGTGCAGCGCAAATAGCCAGGCAGGCCCAAATGATCTTGCCAGAGTGCATGGAGGCAACTGGCTCCTTGCCCCCAAAGCGCATCCGTGTGTCTCAAAATAGGAATCAGACCTCCAAAGATGGCAATGGCTTCCTTTTAGCATCCCTCTAAAGGACGCACGCCTTTGAGACACGACCCACCAAAGGGAAATCGTTGCTAGTTGGCAGGCACAACAACTAGTTTTGATGACTTCTCACTCGCACTTCTTCGAGAAAAAGCCGTCCCTGCACCGTGCCGCTTCCTCGCTGCCCAGTTTGATCACGACAGTGCCCTCATCATAGCCCAGCGCGGCCTCGAGCTCCCCTCTCCCCTCAAGAGAGCCGCAAAACAGAGGGGAGTGCCCCTGGAGCCAAAAGTGATACATCTGCTGGTCGGTCAGACACGCTCACACAGACGTCACACCAAAGCTTTTTTGGGTCCAAAGGGCCAAGAACCTCCCCAGCCCCTCCCATCGCCCAACCCTTGGCCAGGGGCTGTGTTTGAGCCCTTGAGCACGGCGATGGACCAGACACGCTCCAGGAAGTAGCTGAGTGTCGCCTTCGAGAAAAAAACGAAGCTCACTGGGACATAAGAGGGGCGCTTTGGCTATGTTCTCCGCCATCTCTTTGGTTTGGGGCTGGTCAAACTGCCAAGTCAAAGCCACACCCTGTCGAGTAACATTCCTCGGTTGGAAAGGTGGCCATGGGTCAAAATCCAAATCGTACCCCCAGTGAACATCCCAATCCCCACTAAAATAGCCTAAAATGGGTGGTGCACCCCAAAATGGGATACCATTGGTTTTGACCCACAGTCAGGTGGCAACTGGTTCTCCCTGGGGAAAGGGCGCAGTTGCGACCCGAGTTGGAGCCCTCGGAAACTCCCCCTGAGCTCCGCAGAATCCTCCAACATGCTCCCCTTTGTGGGGTCCTAACAAAACAGGTTTTGACTTCCTCCCCCATTGGCCATGGGGTGATTCCCAGTTTTGACGCCTAGCGTTGTGGAACATCACCCTTCTCTGTCTCGATCTAATGAAGGGTCTTGGTATCACAGAAACTAGCAACCTAACCCCCCCGCCTTTAAAAAAAAAAAACTTCCCTTTTTTCCCCCGCACTCATGTCCTCAGCTTCCTGCCTCTAAGCGATATGTCGAGCCGTGCCATATTCTGACCGTGCCATCCTGCGACGGTTGGCTCCCAGATCGTCAGATTCGTGCTGATCAAACTGGGGGGGGGGGGGTAAACGTTGGTTTCCTTGGCTATGTTCTGCTTCAAATTTAGCATGAACCCAAGAGGTCCAAAACACGATTCCTCTTTCCACCCCACTGGCATGGAATCTATGGAACACCTCTGGAACACCGACATCCTGTTCGTGGGTGGATGTGTGGTTATCATGTCTGTTCTCGAAATGGTTGGTCGTCAAGGTAAGCCCAGGCAAGGCCGCTCATTCAAGGGCTCTCTGCACATTCGTGTTTTTGCAACCAACCCCAAATCCAGGGCTTCCGGGGAAAAGGAACCTTATGTTCGTTTATTTGACGCGCAGATCAAAGCACCTTCTCTTTGAAAGCGATTGGGGTCTTCTTTAGTTTCAACATTCACAGCAAAGGCCTTCTCTTCAAGCAAAAAGGGTCTCTTCGTGGTTTGACCCACATGAAAGCGCTCTCTTTTGGTTCCAAGGCCCCTCAACCATCGGTGCCTCGGTGCCTCTCCCTCCGAGCCTCGCTGCCGGTGAGAATGATGGGCAAGGCAGGGTGGAAGAGAGCCTTGCCCGAAGGAACCGGCGCTGCTCTCTGAATTGTCTATGGGTACACCGGCCTGCTGTAGTCATATCCAAAAATGGCGCGTATACATGCCGTATGTGTGTATATATATATATGTATATATATATATATATATGTTCACATAATGTTGGCGTTTCCACAAGTAGTGTGCCGCTGTGTTGCGTGGTGATAGCAATACCTACATATGTATATACATGTCTACATACGTACATATGCAGTTAAGGATGCTGGTGGGGCAGCCCAACTCGAAAGAATGAATTGGTCCAAGCTGCGTAGGACACGTTGTTGGTGTGCCCGCTCAGGGTCTGGATGCACCTGATGACAGCTTTCTGGTCAAGTGAAGAGTCTCACTTCGGAAAGCAAACAAGCAGATTCCTTTCAACAGCCAGCAGGCGCACTGTTTGGTCTGATAGTCCCAGATCTTCACAGTTCTGTCATCAGACCTCGGAGCACACGCCTGCTGCTTTGCAAAGCCCATGGACATCGACCCCGAACTGATCGAGGCCCCCGATCGAGGCCGCCGCCCGGAAATGATGTATGGCTTTTCGCCGCCAGGAGAGTACCTACCAAGGTCGTGGACAGGCTAGCTTGTTTGTTGCTTCCCTTGAAACCAACAGGCAGGCGCCAAAACATTGGGGGGGATCTGTACATACAGCTAGTAGCCCACTCCAAAGCGACGCTCCGGTGGGAACCTGTTTGTTCAACAGTTTCCGCTGGCCCCGCGGACTGCTCCTGACACTGCCCTTCCTGACCACACACCCCAGTGAGACACCGAACCGCTCGGCCCAGTCCCAGAAAAGAGCTCTACGCTTGACACGGTTTTCATGGTGCGCCTTGAACGGGGGCAGGGAAGGGCAGCTCACCCGAGTTTCCAACCTCCGATATTGGGCACAAGCCATGAAAACTGAGCCTGGGTGAACATCTGAGTTGATGGTCCGGGAAAAGCTAGAATCTGTTGGGCCTTTTGCTGCGATGATGGACGTACCGACCAGAAAAGAGTTTCTAGCTCACTGACAGGTACGGACATAAGGAAACATTCCCCCCATCTTGGGAATCGGAGAAAGCACAGGTGCCATGGCTCCGATTTTTGTTCAGCTTGTCGCCCCACTCGCCCGAGGCACTCCACACAATTCACCCCGCGCTGGTGTCCGGTGAGGGTGAAGTGGCAGCTGCTAGAACCTCACAGGACAGCTACGAAAGGCAAGCGAGCACCCGAGCTCACCTCAAGTGCCGGCTTCCGAGGAAAGGAGGAACCTTTGGTTTGGGTGTTTCTGAGAAAAAAACATACGTGGAGCCGAAACTCAGGAACACCCAAATGATTACTTGACCAGATCACATGGCGCCCAAAGAGTCATCAGGAACCAAGATGATCATGGTGCAACGTCGTACTTGCGGCCGCAGGCAACAAAAGGCATGGCAAGTTGTTGGAAGCTGAACTCCTGATCCCAGTTGATTTTGTCTCAGACTTATATAAGGAGGATCCCCTCCAGGCTCTTGGTTTCTTTTGGTTTCCCTTGAACAGCAACCAGAAAGGGCCCCAAAAAAGACACCCAGTTGACAAAGGGAGTCCGCCGTCCAGAAACAAACCCAGCCAACGTTGGAGAGAGCCTGCTGCCATACAAACTCACACACTCTCACACTGCTTCACACAGAAACGCGAGCAATGTTGTGCAAAAGCTTGAACCAGCAATGGAACGCGATTGGCTGCAAAGCAATGGTTCTGAAGCCTATCGGGGCTATCTCCAAAGATGACTAAGAGACATAAACCCCAATGTTCATCATGTCCACCGCAGATTTCACAACCGGCAGGCTTTCTTTGTCCTCGGAGCGCGCCTGCTCCACCCGACACACCCCAAACCTTGATGGAGCGGTCGAGGGAGCAAGAGCAGAAGATGTTTGTATCCTGCCGGTATGTCGTTCAGTGAACCAAAAGGAAACCGCCCTACACAAAGAGGAGCCGGCGTTTTTGGAACCAAAAGGAAACCTTTTTTTTTTGGGGGGGGGGGGGGGCTGCCGACCTGTTGGTTAAACATGCTCAAACATATGTTTGATTGCTCTGTTACGACGGGCTAGGTGGGCTACTCAAGGTTTGTTGTCATATTCCCCACTCAACGAGTGCACCCCTCATGCTTCGAGGGATACTTGTTTTTGTTAAACCGGACAAAAAAAAGTGGATTGTAGCAACAAGGGGTGTGGCTTCCTTGGACATGGTTATCCCGGGCTACATCCTCAAGTGTGCATGACATCAACCTCGTATGCAACTATAACCATGTTTATTAGTGACTCTTCAGGCCTTGCCTGCGCTTTCGATTTTGAGACCCCACAAAAGTGCTTGGAGCATGTTGGCAGCCTTGTTCGGTGTCCGTTTGGAAAATAGATGGACTTCACTGCTTCTGGGATGAGAAACAATCTGAAATCAGTGGAATCCTAGGTTTAAACCAACTAAACCAACAGAACTGGCTGTGGGTCCAAAAATAGGTACCAAAAATGGGATCCTAGTAAATAGAAAGAAGGACCAAAACCTGCGGTCCATATTATCCTGGTGGTTTAATTTTGACCCATACCCAGCTACCACAGGCATCACCTGCCCGAACTGGCACACCATCTGTCACTATGGGTCAGTCCAAGCAGAGCAATGGACAATGGACAATATAAACTTTGCAACTGATTCCGGTCAAGGTTCTGCCTATGACTCGGCCAAGTTCGGCCCATTGGACAAGACAGCCAACCGCCGGAAGTCGCTCCATCGCACATCGTCCTTCGGATTCCACTGGCACATCATCACATAGTGCGCGTGGCCCTCAAAAACCTAGCACCCATTGAAGCGCCACTCGCAAAATCACCCAAATGGGGATATGAATTACGACTTTAGTTGGGCTGGATATTTACATGGCGTGAAAAGCCATTTCACCTTCAAGTTATGCTGTGCACTGCTCAAGACATCGTCACTTCAGTGGATCCAGTGCGTTTGCTACGAGCTGCGGGCGCCTGCAGATTCTGCCAGTTCTTGTCCCAATCCCAAAGCCTCGGGATAAACACGCACCAATTCCTGATCCTCATTTTACGGGGGGGAGGGAGCCCAAATAAGCCCTAAATAAGGTCTTATTAAGGGCTTAATAAGGTTTTTTGGGCTCCCTCCCCCTTCCCTCCCTCCCCCCCAGCCCCCATGATAATTTGCTCTACGTAGAAATACTACAAGCTCCAGGGAAACATCCAGCAAACTCGCAAACTCCCCGTGTGCTTTGCGGGTTTTTGGCTGACTTCCTGGAGATGGAGCTTGCGGAATCTGGGTCGGCGACTTGATGGACATATCATCTGAGGACGAGAGGAGATATGGCAGCGTGGGGTGGATTGCGATGTAGCGGATGTAGTCGGTGTGAGCCTGGCACACATGTTATGTAGAGTGCATGTCGTGTCTCTCTTCCCAAAGGTTGTTTGTCCTTTTCCAGCAGAGAAGGCCAAGCGACCGGCCTCGAACTCGTGAGCCTTCTCCAAGCTGTTGTAGTTGAACACCCGGATCTGGAGTGAACCCCAGCGGGTTACAAAAAGATATGCCATCCCCTCGTGGCACTGACTTTCACCCAAAGAGAAGCTCAGTTAAACTTCTCAATGAAGATTGGTGCCCGAAATTAACGTGTAAACTCCTTGGAGAATTGTCAGGAGCCCCGTGTCAAAGGCCATAGCCTCAGGCAAGCTCTCAACAAGTCACGAGAGGGGCTTCGAGAAGCCCGTCCTTCGGTTCGGAAAGTGGGATCTAGGGGTTGAACCTGGATTTTCCCCCTCACTTGATATTAAAAACCTTGTGGCCGGTGCTCAAGGCAGTTTGTGTCTGTGTGTCTCAAAAAGAAAATCCGAAGCCTCAGAATGGCGGTGTCCTTTTGGTTTCTTTTTCAAACCATCCAAAAAGGACACCGTCAAAAAAAGGCACACCCAAATCCAAGGAGAGACATGCCCAATTTAGACTCGAAACGCGGGAGTCTCAGCCCCCCGGCGTGCATGTCATCCGACGCGGTGGCGATCCACTGCTTGCGGGTGACGAACTTTGCACACCGCACCGGCAGGTTGCAAACCTGCCAGTAAATCGGAAGCGACTCGCCGACCCAAGCTCATTGCGGGAAATGCGTAACCCTTTCTATGATACGGGTTGGTGGTGGACGGGTTGGTGGAATTTTCAACCGTGTGACAGCTCACGTGATATGCGGTGCTCTTTTTACTGCTCGCACCACCCTGCAGCCCTCGCAGAACCTCGTGGAACCCTGGTGGAACCCTGGTGGAACCCTGGTGGAACCCTGGTGGAACCCTCGTGGAACCTTACCTCAGGGCCGCCCCGGACCTCCCTTATCTGGGCTGAGACCCCAAAACATTCAGCTGTTCGGGGAAAAACATGTTTCCACAACTGTGCTGAAACATCCGCACCAGTTTGCAAGTTGGGCAAGGAAATTGAGAAACAGGGAAATCAAAATCCGATTGAAAAGGAAATCCACCTGCCCAACCCAGAAGTTTAGTTCAGTCACCGACGAACTTCCGACTCCATGCCTCGAACTGCTTCACAAGCGTCTGGGTGTTGTAGTCCCAGATGAAGATGTTGCCTTCAAGGGAGCAGCACATGAGTCGCAGTCATCAGGAACGGGACGTATAGGCGCCAGGTTACCATGGGTGTCTAACACCACAATCGCAAAATAGGTCCGTGCGGCTGTCCATTACCCAGGTATTGATTGCGGCTCACATGCGGAATATGCCCTGAAAAAATGGGAGGTAAATTCGCCCCAAAGTGGCTTTTTGGCTCCCTCTTGGTTCCGACAATCAAACCAGTATTGCCATGGCATATGGATGCTCCCCAAAACCGGGCACCCCACAGCAGGTTGGCATATCATTGCTTCCTTTTGAAGCACCATCGAAAAGGCGTCCTTTCCCAATTCTGGAAGCCTCCATATCGTAGTATCTGTCCCCGCCTGAATAGAGCGCCGACAAGGTCCACGGCTCAGACGGATGAAAGTCCACACATTTCACCCGGTCACTCCTGCGCTTGCGGAGCTGCAAAGTCGGGGCAAATCCCAGTGCCCAACTGACTAACCCAGACCTCTCAAAGGCTGCCCCCAAGTACGACCCAAGGTCTCGCCTGGGGAAACCATCAAAAAGCTCTCCGAAAGCTTCACCCGCGACCGAACCTCGCTGAAAGCTTCTTCTTGATGTCCAGTCGGAGCGGCATCCTGTGGCTTGTGGAGCAGCCATCGACCAACCGAAACTCAACCTGAAATGTTCAATGAACCCAAGAGAAAGGAACCTTCATAGATAATTCTGTCGCAAACCTCGATTCTTGGTGAAGTCCTGCTTTCATTGGCCCATGACAGCGGTTAAACCACCCTCGTTCGGGTTTCCTTTGAAAGGAGATCATTCGGGGGCTCTTGCCCCGGCCACCCTTGTCTGTTCAAGGGGGTCCTTCTGGGGAAGGACCTAGAAGTGCAAGGTTAGCCCTTAACCCATAGGTGGCCCTGGTAAATGATTAAACCACCAGGTAAACCAGGAATCGCCCTCGATATTTCTGCCAAAACCACCATTTTGTTTCTACAAAAACAAAACCGAATGTGTCTACCAAAACCACCAAAGAGGAGACCTATGCAACTTTCACCTTGACAGGTGCAGGGCCCTGGCGGAGATTCAAGGGCCCCGGCTTGCCGGAGGAGCCCAGCCAGCTCAGGTGCTTGAGCCCGATGGATGCGAAGCAGCGATGGACCAGCCCAAGGCGGGGACCGGTGGCCGGTTGCCAATGGATCTAGTTCCGTGGTTTTGTTGCTGCTTGGTTTGGAGAGCTTGCTGGTCTTTTGGAAAGGGGTTAGGTCCTCGCGTTTGCAAGCTGCACGAAACACTGTTGAGGGGCCCTATTGAAATTATAGTCATATGGCTGTGGGTCAAAAATAGGTACCCAAAATGGATCCCTGGCAAATGGAAACATGGACTAAAACCTGCGGTCCCCTGTTGGTTTAACTTTAACCCATACCCATATATGCAAATATCATCATGAGAAAGACCCTAGGGTTCCTTCAGGGCTTCAGAACGGATGGCTTGAGGTAATTCCGACATTCTCTGGACAGCCAAAAAAGATCCCAACCCATTTGCAGAGTCTTTGCCGCCGCCAAAAACAGTTTCTGCAGCCCTCCCTGGACGGGCTCAAGCGTGATCACTCAGCGCATATTCCTTGGGACGGGGTGGAAACCTTTTGCCCTGTCCCCATAGCTCTTCAATCGGGATCGGGTCGGTGTGTCCAAAGGGCATGTTGAGTCCGCAGCCTGCGCCAAGCGCCGAATCAACCTCAGTCGAAAAATGACTCCCACAAAGTTCCCTTTAAACGTGCCCTTGAAACATCATCCCCGCAAAGCAAATGACAACTTTGGTAGGGAATACCTGACCATGGGAGTAACTCCCTTCCACCCCCAGCCTTGCCAATGGTTCCAAAATTCCAATGACAAGCGCCAAGC